TGAAAAATGCGAGGAAAGATAATGAAAAATAACAATATTTGAAGAAAAGAAAGAAAGAAAGAAAAAGAAAGAAAGAAAAAGAAAGAAAGAAAGAAAGAAAGAAAGAAAAAAGAGCTGGTAAAAAGTAAAAAGGAAAAAAATGAAACAAATAAAGTATAGTATAAGAAAGGAAAAGAAAATAGTTTTAAAAATCTTGAAAAGAAAGGAAGAAAGAAAAAAGAAGGAAAAATTCTTTATGAAAAACAAAAACCTAGCTTCAGAAAGAACATTCACGAGGGCAAAAGAAAAACAGGCTGACATAAAATGGTGCGACCAGTCAGTTAGAAATTACATGAAAATGTAGTTAAAAAAGTGAAGTGTAAACTGAAAGGAAAAGAAAATGGCCAAGGATAAGTAATGAAGAAAAATATTGAAGAAAAATGAGAAGAGTTATATTCAACAAGAACGAGCGAGGTTGAGAAAAACTAGAGTGAGAAACAAAAAGAAAAAGAAAATTAAATTATTGGATGGCAATTCACTACTTTCTAGAAAATCATTCTAGAAAAAAGTCTTTTTGGAAAAAAAAAGTCAATCCAGAATAAATAAAGAAAAAATGGCAGAAAAGAGAAAAACAAAGAAAATGAATTGACATTTTTATTTGTCGAACCAAAAGACATGTTTAAACGTTAGTCAATATTTCTTGTCGTGAGTTTCCGTAAAATACTTATTTTTCCGTAAAATACTTATTTTTCCGTAAAATACTTATTTTTCCATAAAATACTTATTTATCTAGCTTCTAACTTTATTCTTAGACTTCTAAATAACACCATACAGCGGTCTAACTTCAGAAGCAAAATGCAATAGAGTAAAACTTACTGACACTTGATTCTTGTAGCATTCAAATACTTGTTCTATTCATTCATCATATAGTTAGACTATTTTTATTATGACTTTGTAAAATCGTCACCCTTCGCTTAGTTATAGGTCGCGGGATTTTTGAAAGACGCGATCTGTTACCACCCCGACAACCAGAGTGAAAAGAGGCGAATGTGGACCACTGGTACTTCATAACTAGCTGTTTCGCGGAGATAGGGATCGTCAACGAGGGAAGGCACTCAATCTAAAGGAAGGAAAACATTGATTTGAAACCTACAATGCCTTGCAGTCATATCCAAAAAAATAAAAATAAAAAAAATAACGAAAAAAACGATAGAGCCGATGAAAGTAAATCTAAACAAAAATCGGGATCGGGACCCCAAAAGTGGTTGGCTGCCAACACTGACGAACTTCCGGCATTCCTGGCCTCAGTTTATATTCAGTCCTCATTTTTCTTTGATTTCTTTTATTTTTTTTTATCATTTCACACCAAGCAAGGCAATAAAGCCACTAGGATGCAAGAAGTTACTGAGTTAGAGAATATGATAAAAAACTACTTTTAAGGAGAGAGGACAATAAAAGAATAAGAAATAAGAATACAGAATATAACAATTGACATTGCATTTAAATTTTTGAGATCAAAGGCAATAAAGCCACTAGGATGCAAGAGGTTACTGAGTGTTAGAGAATATGAGAAAAACTACTATTAAGGAAAGAGGACAATAAAAGAATAAGAATTAAGAAGACAGAAGTTAACAATTGACATTGCATTTAAACTTTTTAAGATCAAAGGCAATAAAGCCACTAAGATGCCAGGGGTTATTGAGTGATAGAGAATATGAGAAAAACTACTATAAAGGAGAGAGGACAATAAAAGAATAATAATTATGACAGACGAAAACAATTGACATTGCATTTAAATTTTTAAAGATCAAAGGCAATAAAGCCACCAAGACGCAAGAGGTTACTGAGTATTAGAGAATATGAGAAAAAACTACTATTAAGGAGAGAGGACAATAAAAGAATAAGAATTGTGACAGAAGATATCAAATGACATTGCATTTAAATTTTTGAAGATCAAAGGCAATAAAGCCTCTAAGACGCAAGGTTTTACTAAGTATTAGGGAATATGAGAAGAACTGTTATTAAGGAGAGAGGACAATAAAAGAATAATAATTAAGAAGGTAACGATTGACATTTCATTTAATTTTTTGAAGATCAAAGTTGACTGGGAAGCAAAAAGCTGGAAGTGTGTTGCAAAAGTGATAAGTGCGATGGAAGGAAATGCTAACATAGAACTTACGGTTACATCTAGCCATTTCAACTGTAAGATGTTGAGATCTTGCCGCTAGTCTAGTACTACCCTTAAATTCATAAAATCCAGTTACCATAGCAGAAAGTTCATCAGAACAATTACGATGACAGTATTTCCAGAAAAGAAAAGGGTCAGAGAGGCTACGTTACGGCAGTTGGAAAGAGACTGAATCTGAGATGCCAGGTCAGGGCCAATAACATTACCGATTCTTTGGATTTTATTAAGACTATCGAAATATATAGTCGGAGCACTAGACCAGATATAGCAGAAATGTTCAAAGCAGTGATTTGTGGTAGATTTATAAATATGTAAGATAGATTCTGTCGAGAAAAAGATGTTTAGCGCCTCACAGTGAACCAGTTTTCTGAGCTGCAGACTTAGCAATTGTCAGCTGAAAACGTTAGTCTGATACGGCGCAATGAGGCACTACTCTGGAGGTTAGCATCAGCCATGCTGATCGAAGGTAAGAAGTGTTCTCTCAGATGATTGACAGAGAAGTTTCGTTTTTGAGGCGTAAAAATTAACAAGTCACTGCTTGCCCCATTTAACAACGAATTGTTGGTCATTTTTAAAACCATCTGCCAATCTGACCTTATTGAACCGATAAGACTTACTATTAAGTGAATAAAAAATAATATTATTATCATGTTTCGGACGTTCAACCCTCCGACCGTTTCAGACGTCTGTCGATCAATGTATTCTTCATGGAATTCAGAAATATATAGTTTATTTAATACACGCGGGTAAATTGTTCACATCCGCTGTCCTTGTCAAGGGAAATCATGTCTCGTATTATTTGGTATTTTTTCCCTTTCGTTCGCTCTGTTTCCGCTAAGTTTGTACTACCTGACCCAGGGATTGAACTCATACTTACTATGCTACTAAATTTACGAACTACCGCTTTAATCCATAACGCTAGACGGGACCTTGCTGGACAAAGACAATGTAACGAGAACAATTTACCCCGTATATTAAATAAACTTATCAGTTCGAAATTTACTGAATGTTATGCGTGTCGACGGAACCCTGACGAAGGGCAGCTGAAAATGGTCGAAACGTTGTGATGAAGAAGAAGAGGTTAGTCCGAATATAAAATAACGATAATCTGGCAGTACCTGTAAAAAAACTTCACGCTTTGCAGATTTTCATTTTGCTAATGAAACTTGATTCTTAAGTTAATGATTGAATAAGCTCTTGGCTGGTTCTATGGCTATAAAATATCTGTGGAAATCCCGATTATTACTTCGTTACATATTTGAGCTAAACAACTTTAACAAAATATTGCGATAACAACGATAAATATGAATGTAGGTCATTACTTAAAGAAGTAAGAGGATACAAATAAAACTATTAGGTTGGTGCAAAAATAATGACGTAATAATGTCGTTTTTTGACGTTAAAAATACGTCAAAAAACGACATTATTACGTCATTATTTTTGCACCAACCTACTATTAAAAACAGACAATTTTCTATTTCAATGATATAAACGTATGAGAGTATTATCGCCTCACTTCTCTTTCTTTCTTTCTTTCTTTCTTTCTATATGCAGAGTTATTGAAAAGTAACTCCTCGTTTTATGCATTATGGACTTTCCCGTCTAGTACAAATTATAGTTTGACTGAGAGTCCATCATATTAGGTTTAGTGCAAAAAAATAATGACGTAAGAATGTCGTTTTTGACGTAGAAAAGTACGTCAAAAACGACATTATTACGTCATTATTTTTGCACCAACCTAATACATAAAAAAAATTTTTTAAAAATATTCCGGAACAAAACTTACATGCGAAGTTTGACTCAGGTGCTCAGGCAGAAGAGTTGATATTGTTCAGGAACGTAGGGCTCAAAGGGCTAAGGTAAGGTAAGGGTAAGAACTTATAGTTCAATTATCATATAGGTATATATAACTATATGGTAATTGAATTATCGCCATAAGGTATACAGTCGCTTACTTTGTCCTGCTTTAAAAAAAAACATATTCCGGAACAAATCTTACATGCGAATTTTGACTGAGAAGTTCAGACAGAAGCGTTAAAATTTTTCAGATACGTACGGCTCATAGTGTTAATGACCGTTCCTCAGAGTATGGTGAGTAAATAAAACGGTCAGAATATTTACCCTGTCCGTCCTGCGATAGGAAGAATTTGTGGCCAGCAGATAAGACAAAACATTACATGGCGTAATGCGCGTGCTATGTAACTTATGAACAAACGAGCAACAAGTAGAATTAATAATGACAATGAAAACCGAATAATAAGTATGTAAATAAATTCTAGTTCTAAATTTTACGAATATTTGTTTTGAAGAGATTGGGACCTCGACAACACGGATTTAATCGCATTACGAGATTGACAACTAAGTTGAATTCATTTTGCTGTTCAAATTGCATTATGTAACCGTAAGTTCTATGTCAGTGGTTTCTTCTCTCGCATTTTAACGTGTGGAAATCTCTCCCAAATTCTTGCTTTTCTGATATTTATGGTCTTCAAAAATTTAAATGCAATGTCGATTTTTCATTCTGAAATCTGTGCTTTTATTGACCTTTCGCTCTAATAACATTTTCTCAGTTACTTTTACTATCAGGAACCCCCACTTTGCGTCTTAATGGCTTTATCACCTTGCTTAGGGTGAAATTGCTCCTTTAATGGGCCGTCCTGGGTATGACGCTAAACTAGATCCGCGTAAGGGTAAGACCATAAACTACGTCCAACACCAAGTTCTCTGATCAGGAGGTTTTGAGGAGCGTGGAAACCACCTCTTAATTGATGGTGTTCCCAGGTCCACGCTGACCGGGGTTGGTAGCACCTGTTAGGGTCCCAGCTATGATCAAATAGTTGACCCCAAACTGAGGTCAAAACACTATGAAAGTGTGAAAATAGGTTTTAATACCAGAAATACATTGTAAAAAAAAAAAATATTACCAGCAATACATTTTTGAAAAAAAATATTACTAGCGATACATATTTGAAGGAAAATTACCAAAAATAGATTTTTGAAGGAAAAAGTAAAACCAGGAAAACTTTTTTGAAAAAAAAATATTACCAACAATAAAGATCTTGTCGGCATTAAATAACGCATTGAGGTTGATATGCTATGAAC